TTCCACAAGAAGAAATACAATGAAGGGTGTTTAGTTATATGTATCAGGTTTGTTAAAATCCCTGATAGACAAAGGCCACTCCCTCTGCAGTTCACAAAAGGGTTGGAACCAGGGTTGTAGTGGCCTTGGCCTTAAAGTCCCACCACTCCCATTACATGAGATCTTTCTGATATAGTCTAAGTCAGATTACTGCAGTGTGCTTTATGTGGGGTCGTGTAAAACGTGTTTGGAAACTTCAGGTTGCTCTGAATGCATTGATTGGATTGAAACCAAAATATCAGAAAGATTACCTTTATTTGTATGAGCCTGCCTAGTTCTTAAATGTCTAGGGTGCCACCTTGTTTGGCCAAGTGCCACCTTGAGGTCTGTTTGCAAAACATCCTCTCTATTGTCTAATTCCTGGAGATGAAGAGCTCTACTGACTTCCCCATCCTCCCAGTTGTTGCCAACAAATCTGTTGCATCCACCAAGGAGAAATTGGATGAGGTGCAAACAAGGTACATGGGTCACATATTGTCTATCTATCAATCCAGGTGCTGGGTAAGATATCCTATTTACATGGGTCTGATTGTAAAGAAAGTGAGAGTATATTGCTTTTATCTGTTATTTGCAGCTTTGGAATGGGTTTGGTCTTACATTTTGATTACTTGATAGCCTGTAATAGCCTTGTTAGCACTGATTTTATATTCATTCTGCTAATTTCTATTTATTTTATATCAGTATCCATATTAACTTGAAGTACTTAGGTTTGCCCATTTATACAAGAAGAAAGGCATAATGTCTAGATCTACTATTGTTGTGTCATTTATTTTTATGCAAGTACATGGCCAAAGGCTGAATAAATAATGAACACATCATATTAACATTGTAACAAAATGAAAGGCAACAATCAAGGTTATAAGTTAACAACTAATAATTACCCTGAAATAAACAAGTAAATCAGAGGTGGGGAATAAGGAGTGGTGGGATGAATACACCAGGTTTGCATGAGATGTGCATGTATCCATACATGAATTAATTTGATCCTATTTTTATATCCATCTGTAAGGACATTTTAAAGCACAAACTGTATGTATATATGAGTTAGTGAATATATTTTCAAATTCCTAATCATATTTTATCCTAAAGTACAATTTATTTTATTTTTCCATAGATCTGCATAACAAAACTTAAAGAATGAGAAATCAGAAAGAAAATTACATTCCAATTTGCCTATTAATAAAAGAAGTTGATAAGTCCACACAGGAATCAACTAGGATGAAAATTTTAAATTTTGCTAGTAATCTCTTTTGCTTTTTATGAATTTGACTGTATTTGATTGATTATATTTTATTGATTTTTTTTTTGGTAGACTGTCGTTTTAAAAATTCAAAAGAAAAGAAAGAATTCTTTAAGCATTCTTCCAAACACCCAATCTTTGGGCTGAATACAATGTTCAGCTGGTGGTAGTGGTAAAATGTTCTGTCCTACTCTCTCCTGCCTAGCAAACCTCAGCTCCATAGGGTTTGCATTCCTCAAGATCCAGTTTTAAGGACACATGAATAAATGCAGTTAAAATAATAGATAGGAAGCCCCTTCCCAGTTCCAACAGTTTAATGCCAACATGTGATACTGCCCAGTATAAAAATGAATGGAAAAGAACAGTCTAAACCAGACTTGCACAATCTGTGGCCCTCCAGCTGTTTGGGCCTCCAGCTCCCAGAAGTCCTAGCCAGTTTGTCCAATGATAAGGAATTCTAGAAGCTGAGGTCCAAAACACCTGGAAGGCTGCAAGTTGCACAGGCCTGGTTTAAACTCATCCAAGAGCGCCTAATATCATATAGTAATGGGAGGCAGAGCAGGGGACAGAATCTGATGGATCAAAGGTGTCCTTTCAAAAACTCTCATCCCAAACTAAAATGGCAACAGGAAATGTCTTATTAGCACTTCCCCCATATCCATGGGAATGGCACCTATTTCACTTACTTGAGTCTAACAAAATACATTCTAGCTGGACATTTTCTAGGTTCTCTGGTCAATGTTATGGCATGTTTCTCCTGGAACTTGACCACAGAGTTGCACTGGAAGACCTAGCAACACCTAGAGGTAGCAAGGGGCAAGGTGTCATCTCTAGGCATTTCCTAAGTCTTGGAGAGAATGAATATGAAAGTTATTCCTTCAATAAGGTTTGCTGTTGCTCACAGTTTCACACATGCAGATACGGAGGTCATACCGTACTGAATCAAACCATTGTGCTATCTAGCCCTGTGCTATCAATCCTGATGGGTTTAAGTCTTCCCCAGCCCTATGTGGAGATGCTGGAAATTGAATCTAAGACCTTTACATTGGGCTTTAAAATCAGCTGAGAACCAGTGCAGTTGGTATATAAAACCAGCAGTATTATGTATGCAACCCCAAGTCACAAAACACTTCCACAGCCTCTGCCGTGGAAGAAAGATTCTAGAGAGGAACACAGAAAGGAACCTTCCTTCTGACTTCCTGTTCTGGTAAGCAAGCTTTCAAAGTTCTCACAATATTTCTAAGGGAACTTGCACATGTCCCACCAGAGGAGATTTATACTGGAAACATGTTGGCCCATAGTATGGGCCACCACGTTTTACCTTCCTGCAGATAATATTATCTGTGATACTAATTTTTTATCTAAAATGCGATAATATTATCTGAGATACTAATTTTTTATCTAAAGTGCGCAAAATCAGATTGCAGGGGTAAAGTCATATGGCTGAATGTTAGTATTCCCTGAGCACAGAAAACTAGTTCAGAGAGATGACATTCAGCAGGAACCTTTTGCAGAAAGGAACATACCAATTATTAGAAATCCCCAACCCAGCCTAGTGTGAACCGCAGAAACACAAAGTATAAAATACTTGCATTCCCTGATTCTCCCACAGCATCATTCATTAAACTTCCTGTTTTGAAGCCCAATAGGCTTAACTCGTCTACACAGTTTGGTTTCATGTTGTACTTCACCCTATTTGACGCACTCTAAAGAGATACAAGTGCACTAGATCCTCTCCATCTCAGCTTCTATTGTTCTCCTCAAATGAAGAGTGATGGTCTGAAGAGCCTCTATCTATGGATGCTTTCCACATGATGAGGAATACAGCATTCAAGACCATGAAAACCTCCACAAATTGAGGAGGATCTCTTATTTAAACATAAGAAGAGCAACATAAGTATCAAAGGAATGACAGTACTCCTACTTCTTACATGCTTATTCTGTTTACCCAGACTTAAGTTTAGATTCAACCCACTGATTTTATAATATGCACATGTGGAAACATGATATTGTTACAGTGCTTCTATTTCTATACATCCCTTGTATTTCTATATCTGGATGCATTCTAGATCTACATAAGAACATTTATCTGAATGCACTTATCTGTGAATCCTACCTCATATGTAATATAATGAATGAATTGTTTATTGTACCAGCCATAGGCCATGACATAAAATAATATAGTGTTCCCTCACTTATCTCGGATGTTACGTTCCAGGACCACCCCAAAAAGTGAAAATCCATAAAGTAGAGACACTATATATATGTATATCGCGTTCCAAGGGTGAGGCAGAAGCGAGGGGAGATTTAAAGGCATCACACACTCTTTTTTTTTGTGCTAGCTATCTCTGCTTTGCTTTGCAATCTCTCTTGATTGGCTGCCTCTTTCCCGAGGGGGAAGGTGAAACCCCCTTCCAAACTCCATCATTGCCAGGAGGCAGGATTAGAACACCGCTCTGGACAATGGCAACTATTCATAAACTGGGAGGCAAAAACCCGCAAAACAGCGAGTCCGCCAAAAAGTGAACCACGAAGTAGCGAGGGAACACTGTACAACCTTTAAAAGTACAATAAACACTTTCCAATATAAACACTACAAGTTATTCCATATACTGGCTCTTATACATTATAACAATAACAATAACTAATGTCTGATTTGTATCATCCCAAACTATCTCCATTTCCATTTCTAGCTTTCGCTGTGGACTTTACTAATTTAGCTCGGATTTTTTTGGCTACGACTGCAAATGTAGCAACCATTAATGTTATATTTTTGGAATAATCTGCTAACAACTCACATATAACTGTTCACTGTTGTCATGCTGCCCTTTCTTCCAAAAGGGCTCCCAGAAAATTGTTTCTAGGGTCATTATACAAAGGGCAATGTAACTGATAATGTATTAAATCCTCTCTTTCCCCAGACCCACAAACACATGTGATATACAATACAAACCATATATCCATACAACTAATAACTTGTAGTTTCATTTATACATACCCAATAAAACTGTACTTTCTAAACATTTTTAGGTCTTCCAGCAAAGATCTGTGGTTTTGTTGGACCAAAAGTCATAGATTCCATTAACGTTTGCTGTTATTCACAGTGTTGTGTGTCCATGCAAAGTCCAGAAACATATTCCCAACAGAAATAAGGGCCTTTTGTTCTACCTTCATTCCCATTGCCTACACACAGAACATGGCTCCCAATTCCACATCCTCTTAATTTAAAACTCCTCAGTAACATTCTGCATACATGTTAAATCTAACATCCATAGCATGCAGTTCTTGTGGGTTTTTTCGGGCTATATGGCCATGTTCTAGAGGCATTTCTCCTGACGTTTCGCCTGCAACTATGGCAAACTTCCTCAGAGGTGAGGTCACCTCTGAGGAAGCTTGCCATAGTTGCAGGCGAAATGTCAGGAGAAATGCCTCTAGAACATGGCCATATAGCCCGAAAATACCCACAAGAACTGAGTGATTCCGGCCATGAAAGCCTTCGACAATACATTATCCATAGCATGATTCTCCTGCTAATGCTTTGCTTTGCTATCACCATGTCAAATTCTAATATAACATTTTAAACATTAAAAAAAAATGCCAGCAGATATTGAACAACTTGTATTCCCAAGGAACAGAGGGTGGGATGGGATGAAAGCTCCATGGGAAAATGAAAGCTGCTAATCTGTTTTCCAAGTGAAACATTTGAGGTGATTGCTCTAACCTGGGGCACAGTACATTCTCTCTATGGCATCGTTGTCACAGGAATCTTCAACCTCACTCCACCTGCTAAAATACGTTAGCTGAATGTGTCCTAAAAACAAAACGACAGGAGAAATCAAAACATTTTTCCCTTCCATTTTCTGCAGAAGTGAACTGTAATTACTCCTTTTGTAGCTAAAAACAGTATCATTAAGAATAATGGCATCATTAAGTACTAGAAGCTATTACTGGGGGTGAATTTGCTGCACTGATAATGAAGCTCTAGACAGGAAATGAAGATACTAATTACAAGATAAAACGCCTACTCAGTTAATTGGAAGCAACAGCGAATAAAAAGAAATGCATTTGCAGAAGTTCCTGACCTCGATCATTCAATAAGATGTTGTTTGGGTTCAAATCACGGCACACAATTCCTTCTCGATGCAAGGCATCAAGGGCTACAACCATTTCAGCTGCCCATCTTTGAACGCAGTCCTCTGGGAGGTAAAACCTGGAGGTTAGTGCTAATCTCTCATCGAGGTCCTGAAAAATTTGGTGTATTTCACTCTCTCCTCTGACCCCCACATCTGACTGGTTGTTTTCTGCTTTTTGCAACAAAGAGGAAACCGTTCCCTCTTTCCTTGAGTCATTCATATGATCAGAAAACAGAAGCACAGCTTCATTGTCTATATCTGCCTTACAATCTTTAGCTCCTGCTTGCATCAACCAGTTCCCTTCCCTGTTGAATGCATCTAATGATGAAGATGCTCCTGTTCCAGGCCCTGGAAAAAGAGTCCTGTCACCACTACCAGTTGGATCACTAGCAGCCATGTGGAATGTCCTGGTTGCTTTCTGGTTATCACTAGGCTTCGCTCTTGCTTCTTCTCCAGTCAAATGGTCTACTTTTTGCTCAGGCACTGTACTTGGCTCTGCACTTTTGTTCAGTTGCAAGACATCTGGGGTTTCCAAAAGTTTGCTGTCCAAAACATCTCCATTCTGCTCCATCTGTTTGGCAGGACCATCCACTGTAGCTTCTTTCATTGGTTCCGTCATGCCTGGTAGATTCACCAGAAGATCAGGTCTTCCTTCATCCACACTACTGACATCATCAAAGGCTACATCCTTAAAAGAGATCACTGGCACAGAATCATTTGAACCCCTGCTGATCGTATCCTGACATGCAGGGCCCAATTTGTTTTCTATAGCATCAAGGCCCTTATCTCGATCTGGCATGAACAAATACTGTTTCAACGATTCTGATTTAAAACTGTAAAGCTTATCTCCAAAATCAAGCCCCAGAAGTTCAGTGGTACTGTCTTTGCTGTCAATTCTGAATAATTCCATAGGGCTGTTCTTAGATTTACTGAGCGATTCTGATATCCTAGTAGGACTAGCTCTTTCTGGATCAGCATCATCAGCAAAAATGTTTACTTCCTGAGATGTGAATGCTGATCCCAAACTCCCACTAGCAACAACACCATGTGACTGGATGCCTTCTGGCTCTTTGGGAATGCCGTCACCTGCTTTCATAACGGACTCCTCATTTAAGGAGCCAGGATCAACCTTTTCTTGACCATATTCATTGCATAATGTTAAATAACTTGTAGTGCATTCTTCCTCTGAACTGGACCCAGAATCAATCCACCTGGGAGAACTTTCTTGGCCATCTTCCTGGTTACTACTACCGTCATGAGAACTTGGAGTGAGACTGGTCTTCAATGGTAAAACCTTCAGCATGCTCTCATCAATGCTTCCTCTAGAATCCATACTAACTCTTACATCTTCAGGACTAGGGGTGGCTTGGTGCAAATGTATTTTTGTAGAGCTGGATCTTCTAGACGGAGGGGCTTCAAAGCTTTCTTCAGGGCTCATGTTCAAAAACTTACTGATATAAGACCAAAGTTTGCCTCCTACAACAAAGAAAAGAAAGCAACCAAGATTAGTAGTTATACTCCATGAAATGCTAATAAAAGCAAGAGAAAGAGAAGGATTTGCATGTTAGATATGTTACAGCAAAGGAAGATATTTTACTAGAGTCTGTTTCTTATCCCTTAACCCTACTTAATTGCACAACATCTGAATTAGCTTTATGTTTCATCTGTCTCCAGAATATAAGACAATTTATTGCTTTTTAAATTTAGGCCTATCTTATGCTTTATACAAGGAAAACAAATCATTTTCATTTAATTTCAAATTAGAAGATTATAGGAAATGTTTATTGGTAATCAATTGCAATTAAATTGAGAAATCTGAAGATATTTTGAGGAGATAGACATGCTTGTTAAATTTCAAAATCTTCTCTTAAGTAGAATCCGATTTGAAATTAGTTCAGTTCACATTTTAATAAAAATGTAAAAAAAAAATACCAAACACACATGAACCAGAACACAATTACAGACTAGCATCTGCACATATCAGCAAGCTGTGAAACAGTACACGTTTTTTTAAAAAAAAAACTTGCCCAAATTGGTGTACCAAAAGTAAACACAAAACTGTGACTGTTAAGAAAACCCCTTAACCATGGAGGTTTGATTTCAGGACCCCCTGTGAATACCAAAATCCATGGATGCTCAAGTCCCATTATACACAATAATATAAAATTGTATCCCTTACATATAATTGCAAAATTAAGGTTTCTTTCTGGAATTTATTTCTGGAATATTTTCAAGATGTGGATGATTGAATCCATGGATGCAAAAACCGTGGATATGGAGGACAAAATGGTGACCCTTGTATCTACAGCTAAAAGCCTCTGACCTCTCCAAGCCCAGCTTCTTTTGTTGTTTTGGTATCACTAACACCACATTTATGTTACTGAGAGAGAGGGCCTTCTCAGTGGTGGCCCCTCATCTGTGGAGCTCCCTCCCCAATGAGATTAGACGAGTTCCTTCTCTCCTGACCTTCAGGAAAAAACTTAAAACATGGTCATGGGACCAAGCTTTTGTCACAGTGCAATAAGTGACCAAGAATCAATGTGATTGATAAATGGAACGGCCCTAGATTATGTTTTGGATGGTGTGATTTTAATTGATGTTTTAATTGAATTGATGTTTTAATCATTCCTGTTTTAATTGTTTGTTTTAAATTGTAGTCGTTTATTTGACACTTGTATGTATGCATTGAATTGTTGCCTGTTGTACGGTCACCTTGAGTCCCCTCTAGTGTAAGAAAGGTGGGATATAAATATGGTAAATAAATAAATAAATAAATAAATAAATAAATAAATGTAGGCATCCTTTAACAGCTAATAATAACTATGGTGCTTTCTTGAAGGCTTAGTAAAAGGTAAAGGTTTCCCCTTGACATGAAGTCTAGTTGAGTCTGACTCTGGGGGGTGGTGCACATCTCTATTTCTAACCAAAGAGCCGGCATTGTCTAAAGATGCCTCCTAGGTCATGTGGCCGGCATGACTGCTTGGAGAGCTGTTACCTTCCCGCTGAAGCAGTGCCTATTGATCTACTCACATGTTTTCGAACTGTTAGGCAGAAGCTGGGGCTAACAACAGGAGCTCACTCCATCCCATTGATTTGAGCCACCAACCTTCTGGTCAGCAAGTTCTGCAGCTTTGCAGTTTAACCTGCTGCGCCACTGCAGCAAGGCTTAGAAAATACATTTAAATTGAAGAATAAATGTCATAGTAGTGATTGATTCAGTTACAAATTCCATCTTAAATTACAATTTTATGTAAGGGGATCAAATTGTTATCCCTGTGCTGTCAAAGAACAGACTTGCAAACCTCACTTGAATTTTCTTTTCTATTATTGGATTCTCTGATCCTTTTGGGGTAGAGAATTGTTTTTAAAAGTCCAGAATTGTAAGCTGTTAAGGATGCATACATTTTTGGGGGACCCTTTATCTTAAACTTCAAAAGGAAGAGATCTGTGTTTTGTTCCATGAAATGCAATGTCCACTTACTGTGCTTTATAAATAATTGTCACTATTACAAATTCAACTCTAAGCTCTTAGCTGCACGTGCTTCCTGAAAGCTGTCATTATTTTATCAATGGACTCTCAAAATTTTAAGTAAGATTCTACACAACTGTTTGTAAAAGTTAACAATAAAAATGAAGGAAATTCACATATTCTATTACTATTCCATTTGGTTCAAAGAATTAACTTCGTTAGAACAAAGCCCTACCTATCTATAAATATTTTGAGAAAGAATCACAATAGAAATATTAAAAAAAATAATAGCTGTACACATTAAAAGGAGAAAGAATAAACAATCCTATTCCCTTTCCCCCTCCTTTTCTTTTTCAAAAAGCCCAATCTAGGTCACAGAAGAGCAATATTTCCATCTGGGTATATAATTATGTCTTTACAAATGACACATTAATAATCTTTCCCATCTTGCACTGCGACAGATAAGATCACGTAAATGCATTACCCAAATCTAATACACTATTGGCTGTCCATTATTATGTAAAATTATGGAGGTGGGAAATCAATTGCTTCAAAGGAGTTTCGAGAAGTTTTCAGCCTTCCCTCTTCCTGGTCAGATTTATGTTGGAATACATTAGCAATGAATTAAGACATGCACAGAATATTTTATAAGACTAATTCAGGAATCTCCAAATGTCGATGGATTCCAGCCAGAATGGCCACCTTTTAGGATTATGGGAGTTCTTCTCTAGCAACATCTGGAAGAGCATAAGTTCACCATCGATGTGCCAAACTACATGTGACAATTGAGACCTGCAACAAAATATTCTACTATGTACCCAAGGTTTAAGAGCAGAACTACTGGAGTGGGACAGAGCTGTGATAAGGATAGCTGGAGTGGGACATCCCCTAAGTTATTTTCAGGAGTTGTTCCTAAGTTGCTTATGGTCCTGTAAGAGGAGATAACTTCAAACGTCAAGCTGAAAAAAGGCCACATGGAAATGAGAGGAATCCCTGTATCATGGTGACACTGTGGTCCAATTTAGAATGAAACATGGCTGCTTTTTGTAAGGAAAATAAAATATTTGGTAGCCAGGTGATGGAAGCCTTCGTGAAATCTAAACACCACCAATTTGAATTCAGGTTAGGGCCAAACTTGCTCATATCTACATATCATGCGATAGAGAAGGGTTTCTCAACCAGGGTTTCCTGAAACACTAGGCTTCTGTAAGAGGTTTCTAGATACTGTAAGAAAAGAATGTGATTTTTTTAAAAAAAAATGAACTTTTAAAGGCATAGGTAAAATGATGTTTAACAGGGCCAGGCTATAGCACAGCTGCTAAATCACCAGCAGCAATAAGAGCTACCAACTGAAAGGTTGCCATTTCGAAGCCTGGGTCGGGGTGAGCACCCGATTATCAGCCCAAGCAGTTTGAAAACAACGTAGAGCAGTAAGTTGAGAAATTAGGTACTGCTAAAAAATGGGGGAGGTGTTTTACGACACCATAAAAACTATTGATTAAACTGGCATGTTTAATCAATTGTTCTTAATTAATTGTTTTAATGTTTTTTATTTGTAACCATTGAATGTTTTTTTATTATTTTCAGATGGTAATGCATCTTATGATGCTTGTTGTGAGGCCACTAAGCCCCCCCCCCCGGGGGGTTGAGAAGGGCGGGGTATAAGTATAGGAAATAAATAAAATAAATAAAAAGACCAGAAAATGCCAGCGATCAAAAGGAAGGAGGAAGTCCCGATGGCTCTTTGCCATAGAGCAGTGGTTCTCAACCTGTAGGTCCCCAGATGTTTTGGCCTTCAACTCCCAGAAATCCTAACAGCTAGCAAACTGGCTGGGATTTCTGGTAGTTGTAGGCCAAAACACCTAGGGACCCAAAGGTTGAGAAGCACTGTCATAGAAGATGGAACGACAGCATCCCCATGGCTGGATTTGAGCATAACCTCCATAAGGTGCCGAAGCTGGATGTCAACACAACATACCTCCTTTCTGTCCTTTCTGTCCAAACAGCACTGAATGTTTGCTGCACCCTGAGCACCCTTGGGGAGGTAGGGTGGACGATAAATAAAGTGTTGTTGTTGTTGTTGTTGTTGTTGTTGTTATGCAGGAGTTCCCTTAGACCTGAAAAGTATTTCTACATATTCTCCACTATAAAAACATTGAGAAAGGATATGGGCAAAGGCAGGATTGTAAATCTTTATTTCTCTTGATCTTTCAAATTGTATTTTCTTTTCTTCTCATTTGAAAGGTAGCAAGATAAGACAGATTTTGGATTTTGAAGAACCATCTTTGTACAAATTATACAATTGTGCAAATCAGAATAATAGCATCAGTCAGAAGATATTACACGGACCACCCAGCCCAATGCTTTGCCATGCAGGAATACACAATCAAAGCAATTCTGACAGACGACCATCCAGACTCCAAAGAATGAGTCTCCAAAACACACAGCTGAATAAAATCTCACATTTTCTGCTTTGAACTGGAATATATGGCAGTGTGGACTCAGATAACTCAGTTCAAAGCAGGTATTATGGGTTGTTATATCTTGATATTCTGAGTTACATGGCTGTGTGGAAGGGTCCTGAGGCAGCATGTTCCACTGTCAAACAGTTCTTATTATAATAAAGTTCTTACTAATATTTAGGTAGGATCTTCTTTCTTTCTTTGAGTAGTTAAACCCAATTAGGAAGAACTTCTTGATTGTACATCTATGGAATCAGACCCTATAGGCTGAGAGATGCTCGTTCTTTAGAAGTCTTCAAGCAAAAGTAGTATGGCCATCTCTTATGAGTGATTTCATTGCATCTTCAATAGCATGGGGTTAGAACAGGAGGCCCTTAGCATCTCTTCCAATTCTGTAATTCTATGATTCTAAGCTATAATTGTGGCTACCTTACTTACTTCCTGGACTTTTAAAGTTAAAAGTATAGAAGGGAGAGTTAGAAGGGAGTGGGAGAGAGACTCCGCAAGATTGATCTAGGATGTTTTGATATGCTTAAGAGGAAGGGAAAGAAACCCCACTATTATTGGTTATTTGCATCTTTTGAATCAATCAGCTATTTATATCATGTTTGCTGTGTGCGCATATACGTATCTTGCTTTCCTTTCCAAAAAGAAAAAGAAGTATCCTTTTTGTGCAGAGACATTTTTGCATAAAGTGGAGAACTCTCTACTGTGATATGGTGCTGGAGGCAAAAAAAAAAAAACTTGGGGATGGTTAACAGACATGATGGATTCTCTTGACATGTCAAGAGAGGCTTCCCTGTCAAGCAAGATGGTTACACATCTCTTTTCAAAGCCAGGGGAAAATCATGTTTCCCAGTTTTACATGCTTGGACCAAAATGTATGGTTGGCATTACATCTGACCCTTCAGACTTTTGACTGGAAAGAAATAATGCTTCTAAAACATTGTTCTGCGATAGCGTTGCAGCCTGCTAACAGGAAACATCTTCATTCTGAAGTTTCTTGAGAGCTTTCCAAATTGATATGAACTCCAGCTTGTTTACGCTTAAAAAGATTTGACACTTTCCAACAGCCACTTAAACTTTGATATCCATCAAAGTCTCCCCTCCCAAACCTCCCTCAAGACTCTTTTTGAAGCATCTGTTTCTACCATTTCTGGCACTGACACCGCTAAGTAGTAGTGGGGCCTCAGACTGGCTTTCCATCACATCTTGCCAAGTGCTTTGTGACAAAGCTAACAGATATTTTATGAATTTTCCCACTTCTAACAAGCCATTTAACATATTGTAACCAAGATGGGGAGTGGGAGAGAGACTCCAAAAGACTGATCTAGGATGTTTTGATATGTTTAGGGGAAGGGAAAGAAACCCCACTATTGATCCATATTCTCAGTTAACCGGATGCTTGTCATTAACATTTCCGCAACTCATTCAGCATTCTGCAGTTATGAAAGGAGGAAGGATTGGTGGAGCAGGGAAAATATCTTTATTTAAAAGGATATTAACAGAATTATGTCTTTGAATTCTAGTCTACTGTTGTTACTGCAACTCTCGTCTGTTCCTACCAAACCAGACATTGCCCAATACTCGCAGAGTATTATTCTGTTATTAATATGATGGGAAAGGCTATCACAGTAAACCACCACTGCTGGCATGTATAATGGCTTCAACTATAACAGCGAAAGTACCAAAAGGGATTGCCCAACTAAACCTACTAACAAGCAAGAAGATTCCATGCCTTCCCTGTTGCTATATTTTACTAGAACAAGGAAATGACCTCGGGAGCAAGGTTGAGCAATCTCTGAACCAGTTACTTGATTTTGTGCCATTGAATGGATTCAGAAATAACATTAAATTTCTAACAAACTATAGTTTGCTTCAGCAGCAACATATAACAAGCACCCCATCTTTCACCTGTATGCCCAGTTTTGGGGGGAGCATACATCCTGTATCAATTAATCCAGAAACTATCAAAACTACCGAATTTTTTAGTTGTATCCCAGCCAAAAATGGTGGTTGATAATGTATCAGTATAAGGAAAACCCATAGTTATAGAAGATTCAGCTTCAACCCCAACCATCTACCTACTCAACCCATAACAGTCTGAATGTGCAGATAAACCATGGATGAAATTTCCTATCTCATCAACCTCCAAGAATACCAAGGATAAAGGGTCACAATCACACATCCTTGGTGCACATCTGATTGAGGGTTAGGGTGCAAAACAAATTTTGTGGGTCCGAGTTGAAGAATATATGCCTACAACATACTTGCTACAGAAGGCATGACCTACCTACATTCTTGAACAGGCCTTCACAACTTGTGGTCCTCCAGGTGTTTTGGACTTCAGCTCCCAGAACTCCTGGCCATTGGACAAGCTGGCTAAAGCCTCTGAGAGTTAGAGTCCCAAATATCTGGAGGGTCACAGGTTGTGCAGCTTGTTCTAGAACAGTGGTTCTCAACCTGTGGGTTCCCAGGTGTTTTGGCTTCCAACTCCCAGAAATCCTAGCCAGTTTACCAGCTGTAAGGATTTCTGGGAGTTGAAGGCCAAAACATCTTGGGACCCACAGGTTGAGAATCACTGTTCTAGAGAGTGTTGGTACATTGCACAGTGAACAGGACACAACACCATACCCAAATGAGAAATGCTGGGTTTGGGCCACTAAATCAAATTTTCAGAGACTATGCTAAGCAGAGGGGCAGGATGAACAAGGAGTGATCTCAGCTTCGTTGCATTCCTAATACTGTCAGCTTCCCAAGGGCAACCAAGAGCTTTCCGAGACTTTTTTGAGTCTCAGTTTCAAACAATTTTATGGTTTTTTAAATATATATATTAGGAACACTTTAATTTAAACCCTCCATTCTGTTCAGAAACAAAAGGGATAATTAAATGTGCAGAGCAGTTAAATCCGTGTGTTATTGGGATGGAGGAAATCAAAAGGTAATTATTCTTTGCCACCTGTTCCCTGAACAAACCAGTAATTTCCTAAAGACAGTGAAGGCACAACAGTGTGGTGTTGCTTTGAACTCCTATGCAGTGCCACTGGCTATTTTCTTAAAACACCCAGATCAGAACAACTGTGTGACTGTAGACTCAACAAAAGCTCTTGTAGTTTTTTTTAAAGTGAAATTTAAAAGTATCTTGAATAGATATTAGGTACCTTTCGCTACATAACGGGAACCAGGATATTTGCCAAAACTGAGGAGCCTTCTTTTCTTCTTTCTGAAACCCATCTTTAATTTCAAATTACAATCAAATTCAGGAAACGAATCCTGTGGCTCCCCAGCTGTTGCTGGGTTCCAGTGAAAGTCAATCCTAGTCAGTTCAGCCACTGCCAATGTGAAATGGGTTATGCCATGTAAAGGACACACATGCTTCGTTTAAATCATCCCTCTCCAGTTTTGGAAACAAAATTCTTTAGAGTGGGTATTGAACACATAGCATGAGGGATGTTTTTTATTGGTATCTAAATACAAAGCGGGTATTATTCATAATTAAGAATGCATTTAGAGTTAGGCAGAGTGGTCTCCCAGGCTAAAAAAATGGAGGGAAGAAAAACAGACCCAAATTCCAGAAGTATAAAGTGTGCCTCTGATCCATCATACACTGCAAAATTTGCAAAAGGCTTTTTTAAAACTAAATCTTCCAGTCAGCATAACCAATAAGAAATCTCCTCCAAAGTAAACCTCTCCAAAAGTCTGAGCTTTAGGCAAAGGGCAGGGCTTTAGCACAGCGCAGTAACTGCCAGTTGCAGTAAATCTCGCCAACTGAAAGGTTGACAGTTCGAAGCCTGGGTCAGGGTGTGCTCCTGACCTTTAGCCCAGCTTCTGCCTACCTAGCAGTTTCGAAAACAGCCATGTGAGTAGATAAATAGGTATCGCTTAAGCGGGGAAGTATTTAAGTCATCCATAAGGCAATGCCATAAAAATGCCAGCGATTCGATCAAGGAATAAGTTTACAAACAAAGCTTTTCTGCAGGGAAAGTGGAGCGACAGCACACCCCCGTGGTCAGAACCAAGCAGTCTCCAAGATGCTGAAGATGGAAAAGCCTATATATACTTCTATCTCTGTACAGCTGTCTATCTTGTTAGTGTACAATGGCATTGAATGTTTGCGGTATATGTGTTCTCTGATCCGCTCTGAGTCCCCTTCAGGATGAGAAGGACGAAATATAAATACTATAAATAAATAAATAACAATACTGTTTTCCATTCATAGGGAAGTCTGCATTCACTTGAAAAAGGTACTTCTAAACAATTATTACGTTGCTAATGGTGCCATGTGACAGTGCTATTTTGACTAAAATAATCAGCCCAAAACAGATACTGTATCTGTTTTGTTGCCTTACTGAAAGAATAACTATAACTAAATGCTCTGCCTATGTAAAGTGAAAGCTTGTTTTGTGGAAGTCAGAGTAGTAAGGCAACTGCCCCTTCCTGAGCTCTTTGTTTTGATGTTCACAGGGGCAAAAAAAGAGCTTCGCTGAAACATGAAGTGGAAAAACTATCAACCACACAAAATGAAGAGTGCATGAGAGTAACTGCATACATACAGGAGCATGCACTTATGAACTTTGTGGCTGTGTTTTGTGCAGGTCCAAAACCTTCAGCCTGAAAGACAGTTCTCTAATATTTGGAGGTCATTGACTGGATAGCGAACACTCTCTCCCACTCTCCCCATTTCTGCAACGTATCTGAATCCGCAGACCAACCTTTGGCGTGGTGCAGCACAAGGAACACCGATTCCTCCGAGATGATGTACTTGTGCAGAGCCACCATGTTGGGCACGCAGCGGGGGATGATGGTCTTTCTCTTCCTGCTGTACTCGCTACTTTTCCTTAGACCCTGACAGAGAACAAAAAGGTCAGATGTACCCTCAGTTGCCTTTGCAGCATGCTGTGCTCTGTGCTTATCAACCAAACTAATCTATCCAAGTTACTCCAGGCTTCAGAGACACCACTCATCTGCTGCTCTATGCCCCTCAGTCCCCGGAGGCCCTGCTGATGGCATCTGGCGCATATCCAGAGAACAGAAGATGGCACAAAGCTGCCATTAAAATCAATTACATGGGTCAATGTTTTCATTAGAATCTCTCGCAAACCAATTCACCAGGATCACACTCAGTTATTTCCCCGTGACCCTTTATTTTTAAAGAAGCCTCTTTTTTAGGGGAGTGCTGTGCTTTCAGTTTGAAAGTAAACTATTAAATTCACCGGCATTCCAATGGCAAACATCCCTCATTTTGATGTGTTGGAGTAAGCATGCATTTCCATCAGACTGAAAGCAAGAGAAAGAGGTGACATGCTTGGTTCCCAGGAGAGAGTTATGATTTTTCAATGTGGCACACACAGAGAAAAGAGTAATAAGAGAAGCACTGCTGCTGGTGGACATGCAACCCGACTTGTCTTTCATTCCATTCAGGTCATAAGCAAATCTTACAAAAACATGAGGCAGCGGCTGCTTAAAAGACAGCATTCCCATGTTTCCACCTTCTTGTTTCTCCCAACATCTAATACATAGCAAACAGCCAACATGGTATCTCAATGCTACTATCATTCCCACCTCTGCACCACTTCATTCAGTGACTTTAAAATGTGCATTTTCATTTTCATAGAATAGAATCGTAGAGTTAGAAGAGACATCATGGGCCATCCAGTCCAATCCCCTGCCAAGAAGCAGGACAATCTAGTTCAAAGCACCCCAACCGATGGCCATCCAGCCTCTGTTTAAAAGCCTCCTTAGAAGGAGCCTCCACCACACTTCGGGGTAGAGAGTTTTTGATTTATTTGATATTGTAAGAAGCAAGAAAATGGACACAAGGTCTTGATTCTAGGCACAATAAGAAGATACTTCCATCATGAACATCCCATCCCTAAAGGGTTCTCAATCATGCAACACTGACTGTGGCCTGTCAAAGAGGGATATATTCTTTCCTCAGAATTTCCTTGTCAATATGGAGGATTGAGTAGCAGAAGGAATAGAGCTAGCACACATATCCCTGTGTTCCCTCCATGCTTTTAGTTTTGAAACACCTTCAAGAGCTTCCTGTATGAACCTGTCCCCATGTTATTGGATAATATCCTCTCCTGGGATCAAATCACAAGGATACCAAGGCTGGGCCAAGGATAATAGTCCTGTGAGCCAACCAGTAGTGAGGATCAAAGAGTAAGTCAGGATTCAAGGGTAAATGTCATGAAGAGAAATGACTGTGCAACACAAGTCAGGCCCAAGGAACAATAAGTGGTGCAAAAATATATCCAAACCTTAATGTCTGAGCAAGGATCAATGGAAACAAGACACTGTACCATCCCACTGTCAGCCTAAATGAGCAGGGTTAGTCCATGGTTGAGGAAATTTCACCAAAGATCTGGCTCTTGCAGTTCAATAACTCACTGCATGGAGCAAATGCCTACCAATCCCCAACAGTTCCTGAAAACTGCTCATGTATTATGTTATTAAATCACCCCATGAAATACAACCCTTCGCCAAGGAGTTAACTTCCCCCAGGGAAAAGAATTAACAATGCAAAATTGGATCCTCCAAACAAAATGGTATGAGATGTAGCTCCAGGAAAAGATCAGGTATGCCCTCCAAAATGTAAAAATTATCCCTAAATCTTGATCCACACATGTATTCAAATCATACGTGAAGACGGGGAGCAGTTATGACAGCAAATAAAGAATACCTTCATTTTTCTGAGTGGTATACTTCCATCAAAAATATCTGAATGTGATATTCTCCCTCCTTACTCAGGGCAGAGTAACTCAGGACAGAGTAACATAAGCGCCCCCAACAATACAAACTACTGAATTATTGTGGTGGCTTAATAGTGAAGATGAGTAACACAATCCTCCCACATCCATAAAACATGTCAATGACATTTTGTTGTCTGGATTTGGTAGCCTGAAGTACAAGAGGATGAGTGGTTAGATGACAGAAGACATTACTCTACGGTACATTAAGTGATTAAGGTGGAAATAGTGACTTACCTTAAGTATAAACGTCTCCTGAGTTCTGGTGTCCATTACAAGTAAAACCTAGAAGAAACAAGTAATTAAAAAGTGCTTACCCAATCAGAGTGCAATTCTAACTTACCAAGGCTGAGATCTTGTACCACACAGCATACCATTACTGACTTGCCATTTAGTGTCTGCAATCCCACAAAGCCATTCTATGACTGGTGGAGGGGATAGTTAAAAAGGTACCTGACAATGTCCCCATAATGAGACACAAACACTAAAGTCCTCTAAAGGTATCAACAGATGATGTCAATTGCCTATGTTTGTCTATAACAGTAGTTCCTGAGCTGTAGGTCCCCAGATGTTTTGGCCTTCAACTCCCAGAAATCCTAACAGCTGGTAAAGTGGCTGGGATTTCTGGGAGTTGTAGGCCAAAACACCTGGAGACCCACAGGTTGAGAACCACTGGTCTAAACGGACATAGCCAGACCTTTCTCTAACCCTCCCCTATGCTTTCCACTACCACTGAGTGGTCACAGGGAGCTACAGCATTTAAACAGTTATGTGATTAGTGACAAGGCGAAATCTGGTCACTACAGGGCATGCAAAAGAATATCAACCTTCTCAATGACCAAAAAAGGAGAATGCAAAGGCATAAGTTGGTCTTATGCTTCCATACGTCACTAACTAAAATGTAGCCTGAGATGACAAAGAACCCACTGAGGCACCAGGAGATCTGAAGCTGTGCGTAGGGATGTTGGAAATTATTTAGGGCTCCTGATACGCTGGCTTAATTTTACCGTAGCATTATGATTGTTGTCCCTGGATTTCTACATCAGGCAAATGAGATAAAAGGGCACAGAACAGAAGCATAACCTGGCTCATTCCTTGTTTACCATTCCTCTGCTCATCTTCGAGGTCTTCTGCTATCAGATCTTAGTCAGCACTGTACTTCTGCTGACAGAACTCTCTGTCAGCAGATCTTTGTAATCAGTCAAGAGAAGTACATATTTGCCATGTTCAATTCTAGCCTCCTACAGCAAGTTCATCTTTAAATTAGGATGGCAGGCCCAGTCAAAAGGCATCTCCAATTAATGCAGAAATAGATATTTTAAAATGGCAGTTCATAATTTTTAATTAACATATGTACACTATAGATGGTAGGTATAAATGGTTGGCTCAGAAGTGGCATTCCCTGCTGTGTCATGGTCATGGCTGAGCATCCAAATTCGAGTGCCCCCTTCAAGACAGGGCCTTTTTGGCAGTGCCCCCCCCCATCTGTGGCACTCTCTCCCTAAGGACATCAGGTTGGCCACCTCCCTCCTGTCCTTTAGAAGACAATTGAAGACTTGGCTTTGGGACCAGAGGTTTGATTAGTGGACAGTGGTAATTGGAAAAAAAACTTAGGACATCTGCGATATTGGATTTACCCTGACTTGGATTTGGTTTTTAATTGGCATGCTTAATTTATCGTTTAATGAATTGTATAATGTGTTTTTAATTATTGTTAATGTTTTAAATATAATTTTTGATTGTTTATATGCTGATAGCATCATATGATGCTTGTGTGAGGACGCCCTGAGTCCCCCTTCGGGGGAGAGAAGGGTGGGGTAGAAATGCATGAAATAAATAAATAAATAAAAACCCTTTATTCATTTGGAAGTTTAACTCACTCATAAATCTAACAGTATTAATCCAACAAGATACATTGTTGTTGTTGCTTAAATCATGATATCTCTGAAAGGTATACTCTGAGAACTGCAACTTCCCTGTATTGATAGTCTCGTTTACACAAAGTCCCTGTAAAGACTTTGCAAATGCAACCAGCACTATTTTCTTCTGCTCTTCCCCACCATGCACAGAACTCTAAATATGAATGGTGTGAGTAAGATTAAAGACAATCTCCATCATGGTCAGCTTTAAAAAGGAACGAGACAAATTCATGGGCAATAAGCCTAGCAGTGTCTAGCAGTCATGGTATATTGTATATTGCCTCCAGTATGAGGCACGGTGTCTCTTGCTTGGGGAACCCAAACGGGATAGACTGCTTACAGGCTACCAAATCTAACCAGTGCAGATTCTGCTCTCATGGTCACCAAACAGATGCTTATGGGAAGTCAAGATGAAGGACATGAGCACAAATGGATACTGCCTGAAACCTTCTAACCGATATGCTGATAATACATGGAACTAGAAAATAAAATGTTTTTTTTTTAATTTCCTTATGAAGAACTAGTTCTGCATTGAAAAGAAACAATGTCTAAGATGGGAGGCAAGTTTAATAGAAGTTGTACCTGTTTTGTGAATGGCACTTCTGATTCTACAAATTTCAGCACAGGGTGTTTGGCATGTATCACATGAGAGGAAGCAGATCTCAGAAAAGTAACTTTTTGAACCATAACTTCCAGAAATACCTGGTTGCAGGGGGATTCTGGAAACAGTGATCCAAAAAGTCATATTTCTTAGGTCAGAGGGGAAGCATGCACTCAATGTCTTCACCTCCTCTGCCATGTTCCCCATCCCAGCCCCACTGCCTTCCACACAGTGGAAAGACAGGAGTGTCCTACTCAGTCTTCTTATACATGGATGATGTGTGGGACATTCTTTTTAATAGACACACAATTCCTAGAGACATGCGTTAATTTGGGGTCAGCAAAGTAATATATCTAAACATGGGTTTGCAAGTGCTGGTCTTAAGCAGTGCAACTACTGAATTTACTATCAGGGCTATGCAAGATTATAAAGCAGGATTATTTAAAAACAAACTAGGAAGTGATAGGATAAATCATTAGAGGAAAATTGAGTTGTGGTTTCGCTGTTTGGCCACAAGGCACAGGGAGGAAAAGACATGCCAAATTAAAATAGATAAAGATGGTTAGAAAGTGATACACCAGTTTTCCCTGGGACTTTGTCTTTTTGACCAAGTTTGTTTGCAACGAACTAACATTCACATTGAGGCAGTAAATACAAGAACATATGTGATATTTTTTTAAATGTGCCCTTTGACTGTCAATTTCTCCCAAACAGGTGTTGGTTAAATGATTATAAATTGGCCCCTGGATACACCTCTTCAACTGAGCCGTACAGGACTGGAGATAATATAATTAGAGAGAAAACATCAGGCTGGTGAATGCTTTCCATCTGCTTGGCAATAATGTTTAGTTAACAATAGTCTTTAAAAAGAAGCACCTTCAACTTCCCTTCTTAAAGTTATTTATAGGGCCATTCTTAACACCCCAGCACTCCTGCTAACAAGAGCTTTAGCCACTTGGAAATTATTAGCCATACGGCTAATTCCAAAAAAGAAACGTCTGCACGCAACATCTGCAGCTCTCCAAATTTACATGAAGCAACCTCATTTTAGAGTCATTTCTTAATGAATGGGCCTACGACACTGGATTAATATTATCATTGCATACACAAAGATCATAAGGAGCCAAGCATTTTTTTAAAAAAAATACCAACAGTAGGCTAATCAGTAGTGAAGTCGTCAGCATAAAGGACAAAATAATCGCTTCTTTAACCCTCAAGAGTGCTGCATCATTTGTAGGCAAGAACACACCAATTTAATAACACTGCTCATGGCTTTGCTCACCTTTCTAAAGACAAAAATCTAATTTGGACTAATTTGATATGATCATCTTTCCCAATCAAAAGCACACAACACATACTTTTATTTCAGGATAAAACAACTGCTGTAACCAAGCCATCGTGAAATAATTACCTTTGATAGCATATCATTATTAGGACGAATACAATTAAAATAATGCTCTCTTTAATTCCTTGTATTTGCTTATCTACATCTAACTAGTTTGTGACAGGTTTACTGTACTTATTGTCTAAGCAAGGGTAGATCATAAGCTGATCACAGCTTACATATTAGTATTGCCTTATTTCCTGCACTTTCCTTGAAATTCTTAGGAATGACCCAGCAGGCACTTCACACAATTCATGCTTGCCAACCTTAGAAGTACCACTTTTGCAAGGCTTGTAGCTGGGGAAAAATACTCTATAGAAATCTGATGTCATGGTTTCACGAAAAATGGAAGACATATAGATAGGGGATGAACCGCATGTGGAAGACTCAGGGGCATAACAGTGAGCTGAGGACATTGTCAGCTCTTGGTTATTCCTCTCACTCAGTGATTCTCAACCTGTGGGTCCCCACGTGTTTTGGCCTACAACTCCCAGAAACCCCAGCCAGTTTACCAGCTGTTAGGATTTCTGGGAGTTGAAGGCCAAATATCTGGGGACCCCGGCTGGGATTTCTGGGAGTTGTCGGCCAAAACTCCTGGGGACCCACAGGTTGAAAACCACTGGGCTATCAGATGTGAACTTATAAGGTGGTAAGTACATTCAGGAAAACAAACTAACGCATAAGCACAGTGCTCAGCTTTTTTTGTTACAGAAAACCTCTTTTTCCTCAATCAGTCCCAGGTAAAGTAGACAATAAAAAGATGTATTTAGTTGCCTGTATTCAGGCAACTAATTCACAGACTCATATCAATCCTTTAAATATCTGAAAAAGAATATTCAACTTGTTGTACTAAATCATATTTTTCTCAACTTAAAATGAAGCTAATATTGTGCAGGGAATTAGTGGGTGAAGCTGAGGGTACCATAGTTATATCTCAGCAAAAGAAAGTTATACTGTTGATGTATTATTTACAGCTCTTTTCAAGTACATGTCCTACAAAAATAATGTTCTTTTAGATTTAGTCATCTTTTGCTAGTTATTATGGAAGTATATGCTATTCTCTCTACACTGTTACAATGAAAAAATCCAAGTTTGAATGCACTTGACCACACCAAACATGTCAGATCAAATAACATTATTTCAAGCACAGGAAAATTCTCCCATTCTCATTTTTTTTTCCAGAAAGCTCATATCATTGTTTCTAAGTATGATCACATATCCAAGAAAAAGGTTGGGGTCAAGGTTGGTGCCAATTCCAACTTCGATCAACTCCGGCTAGTACTGTCTACACTGACTTGGGAGTAGCTTTTCAAAATACTGGGTCTTTTTTTCCTTTATCCTTTTGGATGGAGAGTAATAGGACCTGTACAGTCAGCCCTTC